CTCTGACACTTGTCAGGGGCGGAATCACACATCAGCCCCTCGGGGGGCCGGGGGTTCAACAGATCCATCTATGCGCCTCACGCACACACTCCAGATTCTCGTTTCTACAGCTCTCAAATCACCAGAACGCTGAAATAACCAGATTTTTTTATAGTATCACACTATGATAATTGATGTTTGTAATTACGGCCCTGAGGCTCCTTAACTGCCTTCTAAATTATCAAAGATCAAATTATGTTGGGTTGCATCTTAGTGTTAAGTATATTTTAATTATATTCTCATTCTTGGAAAATTAGTAACCCACATGACTGAAATCGATGATCAAGGCAGCTTTGTGAATAAAACATTCTGGATCGAGCTCAGCGTTCCAGAATGTTCTTTGCAAAGCTTGCCATCCTCATTCTGGGCAAACGAGAGTTCATCATCTAAATCCCCCTCTCTTCACTCCCCCCTACCAAAAAAAAAAAAAAACGGTTACTGCCACCTAGGAAAAGGTACGCTACGGAGCTTGGGGCTTGGAACGGCGCGACGGCGAGGAGGCTGGGAGGGGCCGGCGGAAGCAGCACAGCCACGGCGGGCGGGGGCTGAGAACAGGAGCCCCAAGACCGCCACTTTGGCTAGTTCATTTGTCTGCGATAGCACAGCGGGTAGGGCGTTTGCCTTACAAGCGGCCAACATGGCCGACCCGAGTTCGATTCCTCCGCCCCTCTCGGAGAGCCCGGCAAGCTACCGAGAGTATTCGATATGCCAGACACAGTAACAACAAAGTCTCCAATGGAGACGTTACTGGGCCCGCTCGAGCAAATCGACGATCAACGGGAGGGCCTTTACCTTTTACCTTTGTTTGGCTTTGGGGGACACCTGGTGATGCTCAGGGCTTGCTCCCGGCTCTGCACTCGGGAATCACTCCTGGCAGTGCTCGGGGGACCCTATGGGATGCCGGGGATGGAACTCGGGCCAGCCGCGTGCAAGGCCAGCCCCCTCCCCGCTGCCCTATCGCTCCAACAAGGCCCCCCACTTTGGCTGAGCTGAACCCACCTTTGCCTCTGGAGAGAGCAAAGGATCCGTGGCCACCCCCGGCATCCGAAGGATCTCCTGGGTACCAGGTGAGGAGACTCGCCCCTGGGCAGCTCCCCCGGACACAGAGCCCTCGGGCAGGGTCCGGGACTTGGTGGGGCGGCCCCGGGAACTCAGAAGCAGCCCGGGCCGGGCACAGCCCCACGCTGAGTTCTGTGTCGTTCCAAGCCCCGAAGAAGAGTGCCAGGTGCCGCATGAGGACAGCCAGGGAGTGGGCGAGGGGATGGGCAGATGCCGCCGCCCCCCTTGGCATCCCAGAGCTGGCAGCTTAGCCTGTACACCCCCCCCACCCCACACCCTGTTGCCTGACTCAGGCTATCTGGGGGCCGTGAGGAGGATGAGGGAGGGGGCGGGGCACACAGACCCGCCTCACCCAGGTCCTGGCAGCTCCATGCTGAATAACAGCAAGCAGGTCTGGGCTCGGTGGGTCCCTCGCCTGCCCCTGCCTCCTCTGCCGGAAACACCCACTCCTGCACTCCCACCTCCGGCCCGAGGGCCCTTCCTGCGGTCACGTGCTCCTTCAGGTTTTTCCCACGGCTTCTCCAGCCTCAGAGCCGGGTGTCTGTGTTGGGAATAGCCCTTTACCAGAGCAGTAACAGTCTGCTTCCAAACTGCCAGGCTCAGAACGATTTCCATCATTTCACTTTTTGCAAGGGGTGGGGAGGGAAGCCACACCTGGCAATGCTCAGGGGTCACTCCCAGCGGTGCTCGAGAGACCCTCTAAGGTGCCGGGGATCGAACCCAGACCTGCCACATGCAAGGCGGGCGCCCTCCCTGCTGTCATAGTGTTCTGGCCCCAAGACCTCCCATTTCTGAGCCTCAGCGGAACACAGATCCACTCCCAATCCGACACTGTGTTTTACTGGGAAGCTTCTTCTGTGGGAAAAACGACCTCTCAGTGGTCACAGAATTTGCCAGAGACCATGGTGTCGACTTCTGACACCACTGGGGTGGGGTGCACGTGCCCCCCGGCCCCCACAGCCTGAGGAAGTCCTGCCTGCCATAGAAATGACTGTCACGCCCACAGCGGCCCAGAGCTCGTGATCGGGAATCTCCGTGTGTTTCTCTGCCTGCTTGACACTGAAGCTCACGTGTCCGTTCAGACTCACGCTGCCGTGGGACGCAGCCAAAGCTGTGCTAAGGGGAAAATGTGTAGCTCTGCAAGCACTTCTCAGGAAGGAAGAAAGGGCCCACACAAATGACCTGACTTCACAGCTCAAGGTCTTCTAAAAGGACTGACAGGAGGAGCCCAAGCCAGGCAAGGGGAAAGAAATGATAAAACTTAAAGCAGAAATGAATGACGTGGAAACCCCCAAAACAATCCAAAACATGGATGAAACCAAGAGCTGTTTGTTTGAGAAAAATAAACAAGATCAGAGTGACTCTGCCACTGTAACAAGAATGAATGTGCTTGATACATTGTTTATTCTATGGGGGGGAGCAGAAAACCCTCCCCCACTCATCCCGCTGATGGTAAATATTCCTGAACACGGAGCCCTGCAGTCCTGCCAGCCTGGAAGAAGTCGGAGCTGTGGGCTTAGGGCGCTGGGCACTGCTGACCTATGGGAGGACACATGGTGGATGTGTGCCCCTCCCCCCTCAGAGGTGGGCAGGGATGCAGGGAGGGTGACAGGAAGGACCCCAGGCATATACGCAGTCTCTCAGCCACAAACTGCTTCCAAGGAGGAGAATGGGGGGGGGGGGGGCGGGGAGAACCTGGAAACTGACCCCGGGGGGAAGTGGACCCCAACTGGCCCAGGGGAAAGTGAATCCCAGCTGGCCCTAGGGTGGGGGTGGGGGAGTGGACCCCAGTGGGCCCCGGAAAACTCCACAGGACACAGGCAGAGCAGGACCAGCCAGGATCCCGCTACAGGGCCCCCTAGTGACCACCAACCATTTCTGTCACGCCTGGTGGGAGCGCTGAGTCGGACCCCAGTCCAGGCCACACGCCCACTGGGATGGAACTTGCTGCTACCCAGTCAAAGCCACCAGGGTCCTAAGGTTCTTCCACGGTGACCATCTTCCAGTGAGAGGTCACTGCGTATACAGACAGCGCATCCCTTGGCGGGGCTGGACACACACACACACACACACACACACACACACACACAGCCTCCGGGGACAGGGCCCGCTCCATCCCTGCCAGGCTTGCTAAGAAGGCCCAGAGCTGTGGCAACTACCAAAAACAAGAGTCAAAAAACAATCTCTGGGGCCAGGGAGACAGGGCAGCGAGGAGGGCGCTTGCGTTGCATGCTGCTGGCCGAGGTTCAATCCCCAGCAGCCCACGGGGTCCCCTCAGCACCACCAAGAGTGATCCCTGAGCACAGAGCCAGGGACAGGAACTGGGCACAGCCAGGTGTGGCCCCAAAACGAATCACGAATCACGACCATCCTGTTATTCGTCGATTGCCTCGAGCAGGCCCCAGTAACGTTTCCTTCATCCTAGCCCTGAGATTATATTCAAGGCTATTTAGGAGAACGAGACCCATCATTGTTACTGGTATTTGGCATATTGGGGTACGCCACAGGGAGTTTGCCAGACTCTGCCGTGTGGGCAGGCTACATTCGGTAGCCGGCCAGTTTGTCCAAAGTAGGAATGAGAAAATAAGATGTCATAAAAAGTTATCATAAGGAGGATTACCCCATAGCTTAGAGGCCAGCCCGGCATTCTAGGGGAAAGGGCAGCTCAGATAGAGAAGGGAGCACCAAATAAAGGGTGTTTGGAGGATCCTCCCAGGAGGGGAGATGCATGTCGAAAGTAGACTATGGACTGAACATGTTTGCCACTCAATGCCTCTTTTGCAGACCACAACACCCAAAAGGAGAGAGAGAACACAGGGGATTGCCCTGCCACAGAGGCAGGGGGATGGGGGGATGGGGGTGGGGGGATATTATCCATGGTGGTGGAAAACGGGCACTGGTGGAGGGATGGGTATCTGATCATTGTATAATTGAAACCCAAGCACAAAAAAAAATTGTAAATCTACAACTGTAAAAAAATAAATAAATAAAAATGAAAAAAAAAAAAGTTGTCATAAAAGTTCCGGTTCCAGGAGCTAGTTTTTATAGTCTCATCTCGAAAACAATTACAGTACATAGCAAGGGGGCGACACACGCCCTAAGGTGACATGTTGAGCTGTTCTGGGAGCGCTGGGGATGGGAGGGGTCTCGGGGACACTGGGGCAGGAGGCGGGGCTCTCAGGGGGCCGGGCTGCGCACTGGAATGACGAGCTCGTGAAAGGATCGTGAAGAGCACGGGAGATCACAGCACCTCAGTCGAGGAGAAAAGAAACACACAGACCTGGGAGGGAGGCGCTGGCTGGGGAGGAAGGTGATTAGAAAGACAAAGAAAGAAATCCAGACGCTGGGGCCGGAACGATGGTATAGCGGGCAGAGCGTTTGCCTTGCATGCAGCTGACCCGGGTTCGATTCCCAGCATCCCAAAGGATCCCCCAGGCACCACCAGATGTGATTCCTGAGTGCAAAGCCAGGAGTAACCCTTGAGCATCGCCGGGTGTGACCCAGAAAGAAAATAAATAAATAAATAAATAGATCTGAAAAAGAAAGAAACTCCCCCAAATACAGATCTCTGCACGTGTATGTGGCGCTCAGTTCATGCGGCTGGGGTGTCCCCCACGCCCAGGGTCGGTCACATGGAAGGCGCGTCTCACCCGCCTCTCGGCACCGCCCAGCTCCAAGGGCACCGAATCTCTCTCCGCTTTCCGGTCACCTCAACCCCGAGACTGAGGCCACCGCCCGCGTGTACAGCGACCTCGGCACACATGATCTCTCGCCCACATGCTGGAGCCAGCTCTGACGCCCCCGCGAGCACCTGGATCCTACCACCCCAAATTCTGTTCCCTGGGAGGGGGTGCAGGGCGCACCGTGGCCGCTTGGCCCTGTGGTCTCCCCACCACACTTACCTCAATGAGTTTCCTCTCGTAGGAGCTGGCCAGCTCCTCGGCCACTTCCCCCGGCTTCTGCTCCGAGACCGGGACCTCGCCATCCACGCTCCAGAGGCTGGGAGTGACTTCGGGAAAGAAGAAACACGACAGATCAGCATCCTTTGTTCTGTTTTACTTTGGGTGGGGGAAGGGGGAAGGTGACACCCAGCAGTGCTCAGGGCCGACTCCTGGCACTATGCTCAGGGATCATTCCTGGCGGGCTCAAGGGGCTCAGCCGCACACAAAGCCAAGTGCCCTCCCCACTGTATCCTCACTTCGGCTCCCCTCCCATCAGTATTCTGAAAATTAGTTTCTGGGGGCTGGAGTGATAGCACAGCAGGTAGGGTGTTTGCCATGCACGCGGTCAACCTGAGTTCGATTCCCAGCATCCCATATGTCTCCCAAGCACGGCCAGGAGTAATACCTGAGTGCGTGAACCAGGAGTCACCCCTGTGCATCGCCAGGGGTGACTTAAAAAGCAAAAAGAAAAAAAAATGAAATAAAAATAAATAAAAATAAAAATTGGTTGTTTTTTAATTGCTTTTTATTTTTTTTGTATGTGACAGACCCGGGTTCGATTCCCGGCATCCCATAGGGTCCCCCCGAGCCCCCCAAGAAGTGATTCCTGAGTGCAGGGCTAGGAGTCAGCATTGCTGGGTGTGGCCAGCAGTGATGGTGAAGTGCCTGGCCAGGGCGGCGGGGCACCTGTGTGGGCTCTCCCCGGGCACCCAGCACCCTCCTGCCGACCTAGGCACTTCTCAGACACACTCGCCCCAAGGCGGAGCCAGGTCCCAGGGGCAACGGCCCGAATCTCCGCTGTAGACACACCACCACTTCCAGGGAGCTCAGGGGCCAGGCCGGTGTCCCCACCACGTAGCCGGAAAGCTGCTCTGCTCTGCCCACAAATCCCTGCGTTTCTCCCCCAGTTCTGGGCCCCCCCAGCATGGACAGCGGGGGGTCTCTGAGAGCACTTTGTGGGGGTGGCCCCATAACACCGGGGTACGCCTCATGGCAGGGACTGGGGCTCCCACCCTCCCGGCCAGTTCCAGGCACCGGTCGCTGACAGCAGAGGCGATGGAGAACAGGCAGGACGGACTCACAGACAGGGAGGAAGGACAGACAAGCTCAGCCACAGGGGCCATGGGCGGGGGCTGTCCCGGACCCGCATGTCCTCACCTCGGCACCACCTCCCACGCCACAGGAATGAGTGCCAAACCACCCGGGCCGGGGCCACGGGACAGCGGGGAGGGCGCTCACCTGGCCGGCAGCTGGCCGGGGGGTTCCATCCCCGGCACCCTGTGGGGACCCCAGACCCGGCAGGAGGAATCCCTGAGCACTGAGTCCGGAGGGAACCCTGAGCACCAACAGGCAGGGCACCAGACAATAAACAGACGAGCCATCATCGAGGTAGGTGGAATCAACGCGCCCCCTTTGTTCACAACACGAGTGTCTGAAGACCACCAGGGCCAGCCTGAGGAGTTCCTCCCACTCAAACGTCTGGAGTGCCACTGGGTGTGTTACGAGAGTCACCTAGGATCTAGTCAATTGTTTATAAACAGGGCTGGGGTTCAGAGCTCCCCGGGACCATGGAGAAGTAACAAGGTAATTTCTAAGGAGGAGGAAACTGGGACTCGTGCCCAGAAGACCGTGGAGTTACTGCAGTTACCCTCCGAGAGGGCGGCCCTCGGCATCCGCCGGGGTCTCTGAAGAGCAGCGCCCAGGCAGGCCCGGCCCTGCAGTTTCCGTGAACGCTGTTACCCAGAAGAGCAGAACCCCACGACCCGCTACAGGAGGAAGGACCGAGAGCAGCGGAGAACAGCACTGCTCTCACCCAGGGGAGCGGGGAGTGGGGGCGCAGGGGGCTCAGCCCTCGCTCCGCGCCTCCCTCCAGAGTTCAAACATAGGGAAGCCGTGTCATGAGCTCTGAGAAAAGTCGAAAACCAAGGGGCCTGAGAGGCCGGAGAGAGAGCACACTGGGTCGGGCAGCTTGCCTGGCATGAGCCCACCTGGGTTTGACCCGCCCACATCCCAGATGGTCCCCGGGACTGAATCCTGAGTGCAGAAACAAGAGCAAGCCCTGAGCTTCGTTTGGTGTGGCCCCCGAGTAGAAGTAGAACAAATGAAAAGAAAAAAAAAATCCTTTTGGGGCTGGAGCGATAGCACGGCGGGTAGGGCGTTTGCCTTACATGCAGCCAACCCGGGTTCGATTCACGGCATCCCATAGGGTCCCCCGAGCACCGCCAGGAGTCATTCCTGAGTGCAGAGCCAGGAGGAACCTCTGTGCATTGCCGGGTGTGACCCAAAAAAGCAAAAAAAAAGGAAGAAAAAAAATTCTTTAAAAAAAAAATAATAGGGGCTGGAGAGAGAGCACAGCGGGGAGGGCGTTTGCCTTGCACGCGGCCAACCCGGGTTCGATTCCCAGCATCCCATATGGTCCCCTGAGCACTGACAGGAGTGATTCCTGAGTGCAGAGCCAGGAGTGACCCCTGTGCATTGCCGGGTGTGACCCAAAAAGCAAAAAAATAATAATAATAAAAAAATGACCCGAGTGGCAACACAGAAGCACGGCGGGGAAGGCACTTGCCTGGCACACGGCCAAGCACGACTCAAGCCCAGGCACCCCACACAGTTCCCCAGGTCCACTCGGAGTGACCTCGAATGCCTTTTGGGCAGGCGTGGCCACACCTGGTGTCCCGTGACTCTGGTCCAAGCGTGCAGGTCCTTCTGCGCACGCGCACACACAGACACAGACACGCACTTGTCTGCAGTGACAGTGAGGGCTCGGAGACCGGCCCTGCATTCCGGTCACTGCTGGCACCGCCCGAGCCAGCAGCCTGAGGGGGGGTGAAGCCTAGGGGACAGGCTCGCGCACTTTAGAGCCCGGTGAGTCGGGGGACACCCAGGAAACGGTTCCAGACATTTAAAACCCTCTAGACAACCACAAGCATGACCGAAAAACAGAGAGAGGAGAAATATGAACACGAGTCCTTCTGGTGCATCAGATGCTCCATGCAGAGGCCGCAGTGAGCGAGGGGACGGGGGCAGGCGCACCTGCCAGCTCGGGGGGTGCAGTGACCATTTGCTGGCTTACAGTGACTATTTAACAAGGGTCTCTAAATGCCGCCCGCAGCAGAAGCCAGCTCTACCCGGAGACAGTCCCCAGCCCCAGGGCCCTGAGACTGTCCCTCACACCAGGAAGTGCCGACCGTCCAGGCCTAAGAGGCCAGCATGAGCTGTGGGGGTGGAACTTGCAAGAAAACGCCTGGACATCAGCCCCTCCCAACCCTCCCCCTGACCCCACTTCCCGCCTAGAACTCTGCTCTCACGGCCAAACTCAGAGGGGTGTGCGTGCGTGAGGCCAGGGGTTTGACCCCGCATCACACAAACTTTCCCCATCCCCCGCCCACACACACACCACAGCACCCCTGGGTGTGGCCTGGCCCCTGAGAGCGGTCCCCACATGGCGGAGAGCAAAGGTCCCAAACGCTGGGACCCACCTACCTACCACCTCACCCCGGCCTTTCTCCAGCCAGACTTCTGCTTGGCCCTGCAGCGGTCGGCAGAACAGAACTGACGATGCTTTTAATGAGATTTGCGACAGGCCAGGCCGGGCTGGCGGGACGCAGGACATCAGTGTGGGTGCCCCCTGCCACAGAAGCAGGAGACCCAGCAGCCGAGAACTCACACACGGGCCCCGCTCCAGGCCAAGACCAGGCAGGGAAGGAGGAAACTGCCCTTTCCCAATAAGGCCCAGATGGTGATTGATCTGGGTCCTTCCCCGCACCCACCCTGTTCCCTCCGGCGCCCACCACTGGGACGTTCAATCACGAGGGCTGGAATGACAGGGCTGGAGTGGGAGGGTGTTTGCCTGACACGCGGCTAACCCGGGTTCGATTCCCAGCATCCCACACGGTCCCCCGAGCACTGCCAGGAGTGATTCCTGAGTGCAGAACCAGGGGTCATCCCGGAGCATAGCTGGGTGTGACCCAAAAGCAAAAAAAAAAAAAAAAAAAAAAAAACGCGCCCCACAAGCTCCCTGCCCGAGTCTGTGGCCTATGTTCGCACCCAGCCTGGAGTGGGTGTGACTCTCCCGCTCGGAGCCAGCTGCGAGCTGCGTTTCCCTCTGGGTGACAGCATGGGGCACGAACCTTTCTCTTTTTCCTTGTGTCCTACCCAGAGACCTTTCAGCGTCCCTGCTCGGGGCTCCTCCGAGTCTCCAGCTGGGACCAGTAGCCAGAACCCTGCGGTGAGCTTGACGTGGAGAGAGGGGCCGGGCAGGAGGACACGGCGGACGGGGGAGCCCCGTCAAGCTCCCGCGGGCACCACGGGCCTCTGCCCCGCGACTGGGGCGGGGGCCGAAAACGTGGACGGCAGCGGGCCAGCTGGTCCCCTGGGCGACCTCGGCCAGCAGGGCACACAGCGTCACTGAACAGAAAAGTCAGGTTCAGGTTCCACCTCCCTCCCGCTATTAATACCCACTGCGCGGGAAGGAGGGACCCAGAGCCAGAGCACAGCGACCACATTCCCGTGAGAGCCACCGGTGGCACGCGCTGGTGTGGGCAGGAGAAAGGCAAGAGGGGAGAGCAGCAGGAGCCAAGCCCTGAGAAACAGCCAGCGACGCTCAGGAATCGCTCCCGGCGGTGCTCGGGGAACCCTACGGGATGCCGGGGACGGAACCTGGGTCGGCCGCGTGCCACCGGTGGCTCTCACGGGCCGTCCCCGCTGTGCTCTGGCTCTGGGTCCCTCCTTCCCGCGCAGCCCCCTCCCTCCTGTCCCGCTCCGCCGCTTTCCCAGGGGGACTCGGCAAGGCAGCCCCAGGCACAGACGGAGTGGGGGGAAGTGGGGTGCAGGGGTCCCTGCCAGCCTGCTGCCAGGTGGGGGCTCCCCTCACAGGCTGGGGAAGCACCTCATCTCTCCTGAGACGACAGGCCAGCTGCTTGGCCGCTGTGGGGGTGGGTGCAGGGGAGGAGGGGGGCTGGGCGAAGGCGCCGGGAAACGGCTCGGGGTGAAGGCGGGCTGAGAAGGGCAGCCCCAAGTCCCCAGGGCTCGGCAGACCCCCCCAGCGATGGGCTCCAGGGCGCTCCCACCTGGCTCCCACCTGGCACCTGAGTCTGTTAGTCTGGTTCAGGGGGGTCTCACCTGGTGGTCCTCAGGGCTACTCCCGCCTCTACCCTCAGGAGCGCTTCCTGGCGACCCTCAGGGGACACCGGGGGCTGGGCCTGGGTGCACAGGGCTGGGGCGCTCTGGACCCCAGCATGGACACGCCATGGGGCCCGGCCGGGAGAGAGGCCGAGCCTCGGAGGGGACGGCCAGAGTGGGAAGCACCGGGAACCATGCTGGGCCACCCTCTGCCCGCCATGTGCCAGCGCCTCCCCGTGGCAAAGGGCCCCAGCCTCGGAGGCCCCGAGGGAGAAGCCCCTATGGGTGACAGAGGAGCAGAAGCCACGGGACCCTGAGGGCGGGAGGGGCAGGGCCAGCGGGGTCCCTGGCCACCACCGCAAGGGAGCATCTCCCCTGAACTCAGTGCAGGTGAGCGTACGAGTGGGGGGAGGGCGAGGTGTGCATTCAGGGTGTGTGTGTGTGTGTGTATGCTGTGTGGAGTACATGTGTGTGAGAGTGTATGTGAGTGGGGGTGTGGAGGTGTGTGTTTGGGGGGTGTGTGTGGCTGTGAGTGTGTGGGGGAGTCTGGGGGTGTGTGTATGAGTGGGGGGTACAGGGGTGTGAGAGTGTGTATTATTGTGTGTGGTGGTGTTTGTGTGTGTGTGAGTAGGGGCGTGTGCGTGGAGGTGTGTGCGTTCAAAGGGGGCCATGAGAGTGTGTATGATTGTGCATGATAGTGTATTTGTAGGAGTGTGTGTCGAGAAGCGGGAGGTGTAGAGGTGTGTGCGTTCAGAGTGTGTGTGTATGGTTGTGAGCGGGCAGTGACGTGTGTGAGTGTGTGTTTAAGGCTGGGGATGTGTGTGGAGGTGTGTGCGTTCCGGGGGAGCGTGAGTGAATGCGTCTGACTGTGTGTGTGTGGTGACGTATGTGTGTGAGTGTATGTGTGTGGTTGTGAGTGTGTGGTGGCGCATGTGAGTATATATAATTGTGTAGTAGTGTATCGTGTGAGTGTGTGGTGGTGTCTTACGCGTGTGTATGGGCGTGAGTGCGTGGCGGTGTTTTTGTGTGATTGTGTGTGGATGGCTGTGAGTGTGTGGTGGTATATGTGTGTGCTCATGAATGGGGATGAGTGTGGAGATGTGTGCGTCCAGAGGGCGCTGTGAGAGTGTGTGTGCGGGTATGTGTATGACTGAGTGTGTGGTGGGACAAGTGAGTGTGAGTGGGGGTGTGTGCGTGGAGGTGTGCATTCAGGGGTGTGTGAGAATGTGGGTGTCTGCGTGTGTGGGTGTGGGTGTGTGTGTGTGTGAGGTACAGGTGGGATATATGTTACGTGGTGCATGTGTGTGTGGCATGTATGGAGTTGCTGTGTGCTGTGTATAATTCCCATGTGTATGTGTGTACGTATGTGGGGTGCGTGTATGCATGAACGTGATATGTGTGTGCACAGATGAGGTGTGTGGTGTATGTGTGTGTGATTTAAGTATCTGGGGTGTGCTATGTATGTGTATCAGAGGGGGTGAATACTTCGTATGTACTGAGTGGTGTATGTGAGTGGTGTGTGTGTGAGTGCGTGTGTGAGTGCGTGTGTGGTATGCATGTTAGTGGGGTGTGTGCGTGTGCGGTATGCATGAGTGGTGTTCGTATCTATGTGAGTGGTGTGTGTGTGTGAGTGGTGTGTATGCGTATGTGTGTGGTGTGTATGAGTGGTGTGTGTATGTGGTGTGTGTGTGTGTGTGAGTGCGTGTGTGGTATGCATGTTAGTGGGGTGTGTGTGTATGTGGTATGCATGAGTGGTGTTCGTATCTGAGTGGTGTGTGTGTGTGTGTGAGTGCGTGTGTGGTATGCATGTTAGTGGGGTGTGTGCGTGTGTGGTATGCATGAGTGGTGTTCGTATCTGAGTGGTGTGTGTGTGTGTGTGAGTGCGTGTGTGGTATGCATGTTAGTGGGGTGTGTGCGTGTGCGGTATGCATGAGTGGTGTTCGTATCTATGTGAGTGGTGTGTGTGTGAGTGGTGTGTATGCGTATGTGTGTGGTGTGTATGAGTGGTGTGTGTATGTGGTGTGTGTGTGTGTGTGAGTGCGTGTGTGGTATGCATGTTAGTGGGGTGTGTGTGTATGTGGTATGCATGAGTGGTGTTCGTATCTGAGTGGTGTGTGTGTGTGTGTGAGTGCGTGTGTAGTATGCATGTTAGTGGGGTGTGTGCGTGTGTGGTATGCATGAGTGGTGTTCGTATCTGAGTGGTGTGTGTGTGTGTGTGAGTGCGTGTGTGGTATGCATGTTAGTGGGGTGTGTGCGTGTGCGGTATGCATGAGTGGTGTTCGTATCTATGTGAGTGGTGTGTGTGTGTGAGTGGTGTGTATGCGTATGTGTGTGGTGTGTATGAGTGGTGTGTGTATGTGGTGTGTGTGGGGGGGGTTGTGTGTGCACGAGTGTGCGAGCTGATGGGCAGAGTTGAGTCGCTGGCCCACGAACAGCCCGACGGCCATCGGGCCCGGCCACCCTGAGGCCGCCGTGGGGGCTTGCTGCTGCCAGGCGGGGGGGGAGGGGGGTCCCTCCCGCTCCCGCTCCCGCTCCCGGGCAGGTGCTCCGTGCGGGTGCTGCCTCTGCTGCCGTCACACACCCGCAGGGAACGTGCAGTGCGTGGACCAACCGTTTTCGCGGGCGCGAGGAGGCCGCCCCCTCCCGCGGGCCGGACCCTCCCACCCGGCAGCTATTCTTACCCGGCGCTCATCTGCGTAATTTTAACACTGCAGAATATAGCCGGCCTAAGAATATTTTTTTATAATTACACCCATCACAGGAACTGTCAGTATCTAATGAAGGATAATTTCAGCTATTATAAGAAGCTTAAAAGATCATTTTCATGAATAATTCGTAATATGAATCATTAAACTCAAACAATGTCGGGATTTTTTCTAAGGAGGAGGAAGACTTGCGTGTGCCTGTGAGGGACCGACCCTTTCCCAGGGCACGCGTTTCTGCCGGGCGCCAGAACACTGAGGCACGAGGGGCGGAGCTTCCTGTGGGGGTGGGGACCCGCTGACCCGCCCACACATCACTTCCCACTCCGGGACTCTCTCCGGCTTCCCCATCCAAGAGCAAGATCCGAGTCTCTGGGCCAGCCACAGGGCGTGGGCCTCGGCCCCCCTTCAGGGAGGTAACCCTCAGCTGAGAACAGGCCCCGGGGCCAGGGCGTCATTGTCCTGGAAAACTGCACCTGGATCCAGCCATACCTGCATCCCAGCTCTTTGTTTGGGATCCGCTTTCTCGTTGGCGTCCTTTCATTTCCACTGTTTGCAAACACAACCGAGTTGGGTTGGGGGGTGGGGAGGGGGGTTCTATCTCTAAAAGAAAATAAAGCCTCTGGAGAGAATCCCAGAACCAGAACTCCCAGGACGTCTGAAGCCAAAGTCTTGGGCACAGTGGGAGCTGAGGCTAGGCAGGAGGTGGAGACCCAGGTGAGAGGGTGTGTGTGTGTGTGTGTGTAAAGTCAGGCACCAGAGTGACAGTAGAGTTTTAAACAGCATTAAAAATAGCAAATTTTTAACAGTATTGAAATTTTCACTACGAGGGCCAGAATGGTAGTACAATGGGGAGGGCGTTTGCCTTGCCTGCGGCCGACCCGGGTTCGATCCCCAGCATCCCACAGGGTGCCCCGAGCACCACCAGGAGTGATTCCTGAGCGCAGAGCCAGGAGGGACCCCGGAGCATCGCCAGGCAGGGCCCCCAAACAAACAAAAGTTTCACTCTGAGGGATACTTTCCGAAGGGCAGTGGGGCAGGAGAGATGGGCCTGGACAGACAGACCCTCGAGCACCTGAGTGTCAAGATCCCCGAGTGCTGCCCCTTCTGTGCCCACGGCCTGGGCCTCCCTGAGCGAGTCGGCAAAAATAGCTCGGTGAGTCACGGGCGGTGCCTGTCGGAGCAGCCTCCATGGCGAGGGCTGCGTGTCACGGCGAACGAGGCGCCGTGAAGGCTGCGTCTCAGCGTGTGTGTGTGTGTGTGTGTGTCTGTGCATGTGCATGTGTGTGCTTGTGTTTGTGTGTGTTTGTGTGTGCATGTGCATGTGTGTGCCTGTGTGGGCGTGCATGTGTGTGCGTGTGTGTGTGTGTGTGCGCGCCCCAGCTTGGGAGCACACTGCTCGCCATGGGCCAGTAAGAGCCACTTTGGTAAAAGACGTCAGAGTCGGCGGAGGACATCGGCTGTGCGGAGACGCTGGGGGATGTGACAGGCAGCAGGACCCCCGGGGGAGAGGACCCCCACTAACAACAACCCCTTGAGGCACCTTCAGCAAGAAGACCCTGATACGACGGGGCAGGCCCGGGGATCTCCCAGAATCCCGCCCGGGGCTGCCGTCCAGCCCGGTTCTAGCAGGATCGGGCGCCTGGTGAGCGGGTCCCACACCCCCAGGGGGCCAGGGAGAAGATGGCAGAGCCCAGCCCAGCCCCCAGCCCCGCCCCGGCCCTAGCCCGCCCCTCACCTTCGGGGGTCTGACCTTCCCGTTTCAGCATCTGGACGGCGCCCACGTACTTCTTCAGCTGGACTTTCAGCACCTCGTTTTCTCTGCAGGAACAGGAACATGTGAAAAAAGGATAAAAAAATTAAGAATTTTTTAAACTGGCAACAACCCAAACAGGGATCGAATCCGGGTGCAGGAAAACCACCCCTGGTGCTCCCTACAAACCGTCACGCCTTCCAGGGGCTGGGACGTAGGACATCGGTTGGGGCGCAGGCCCTGATTCCTTTCCCGGCACCACCCGAATCTCCGGGTGCAGCCTTGGAGGCACCCTGAGCTCCGCGCAGTGGCCCAGGGACCCCTCGGCACCGGGAGCTTAAGGCGGGTCCCCCCCACACACATACTCCACCTTCCGGCTTCACATCAGCTGACTCACCTGAGCCCTACTTGGGAAGGCACTTTTTTTTTTGCTTTTTGGGCCACACCCAGCGACGCACAGGGGTTGCTCCTGGCTCTGCACTCAGGAATTACTCCTGACAGTGCTCGGGGGACCCTATGGGATGCTGGGAATCGAACCCGGGTCGGCCGCATGCAAGGCAAACGCCCTCCCTGCCGTGCTATCACCCTGGCCCAAGGACAAACACCTCTTATCACAGTCCCTGCCCAGTGCCCGCGCCCCACAGTTTCCTCTGCCAGGGCATCTGCAGGCCCAAGAGACCCGCCCTTCTGTAGCGGGGGAGTGCTGGGAGCAGCTACGAGGCTCTACTCCTCAGTGCTCCCCATGCTCTGAAGGCCCCGGGCCACTCCGAGGGGCCAGAGGCAGGGAGGGCCCAGCCAGCCGAGGCGCTTCCTTTTCTTTGCTTTGTATCTGGGGGGTGCCAGGCTCACCCCCACATCCCTGCACCCCAGTCCACCCGCCCCACTGCTCACATGGCCCCTGGCCATTCTGCAATCGCCAGAGCACACATGGGGGACGGGGGAGCACGTACGTGAGATTCTTCCTATGCTCCCCAAGGCCAGCTGCCACGGTGGGGCTGAGATGTCCCCCGAGAATCCCACCCGCCCAGAGGGCACCGTTTCTACTCCCCCCGGCGCTGGGCTCTCAACAGCCCAGCACCAACGCCGCTGAGCCTGCAGGGCCCGGCTGGCTGCCACACGGCGCGGCACCAGCACACGCGGCTCCTGGCTGCGGAGGGCTGAGGTGTCCGACCTGCAGGTTGGCATCGAGGCCCGGCGATGTGGGACAAGAGGGGCCGGAAACTCTCTCAGAGTCACCGAGTGCTTGGGAAGCCCCCATCGTGGCCCTGAGCTCTGGCTCTGACGTCCCCGTGTTTCCGTGTCCATGGGGTCCTGCAGGCGGGCCAGCTCATCCTCCGAATCCCGCCCCCAGGCCCAAGACACAGCGGGAGGCCCCCCGGCAGAGCACAGTGCCTCGATGGCCCTTTCTTGGGGCTGATCAGCTGCGTCCTCGGATTTTCTCTCATGTCTCTTTTATGCTATGGGGGCCACACCCGGTGGTGCTTGGGGCTTCCTCCTGGCTCTGTGCTCAGGGATCACGCCTGGTGGTACCAGGGATCGAACCTAGGTTGGCCGCATGCAAAGCAAGTGCTCCCACCCCCAGTACTTGCGCCCCAGTAACTCCTGAATTCTCTTGACTGTGCTCATCTGTGGAATAGAAAGTAACAGAATGGGAGACTAACACCCAAGGGTAGTAGCGATAAGGGCCAGGAGGATCATTCCAAGCCGGCCTCATGTGCTGGGGGAAAAGGCAGCTGGGACAGAGAAGGGACCACCAAGACATGCTCGGGGCGGGAGACGCGTGCTGAAAGCAGATGACGACCAAACATGCTGGCTGCCCCCTACCTATACCTATACCGCAAACCACAAGACCCAAAAGGAGAGAGAAAGAGGAACTGTGCCTGCCAGGGAGGCGGGGGGAGGTGGGATGAGGGTGACAGGAGGGACACTGCAACACTGGTGGTGGAGAATGGGCACTGATGGAGGGATGGGTACTCGATCACTGTATGTATTACTTAAACGTAATCACGGAAGTCTGTAAGTATAATTGTATCTCACGGTGATTCATTAAAAAAAAATAATAAATAATAATTAAAATTTAAATTAAAAAAAAAAAAACTCCTGAATTCTCTCTCCCCAAATGTCACCGGAGTAGATGTCACCCACTGCCTCGTCTCTGCACCCTGCAGGCATGGGGGGTTGCTGGGTTGCAGCTTCCCCCCACATAGGGCCTGGTGCTCTCCACTGGGGGGGTGGCTATTCACACCTCCCACCCATTCATTCGGGGTCCTGCTCAGAGCGGCACCCCTGGCCGGAAGTGAAAGCAGAGGGTCAAAGGCGACTCATGAAAATATTTAAAAATTTTTAAAACTGGGCAGGAGGTGGGGTGTGGAGGAGGACGGGCGGGAACCTGGGGACACTGGTGCTGGGAAATGGACACTGGTGGAGGGGTGGGTGTTGGAACACCGTATGACTGAACGCCAATCATGAACAGCTCGGATTTCCCACTTGGGTCTATCCCCCAGTGATTCCATTGAAAAGTTTTCAAAAAAACGGAAAAACCACAAAACCCCAGCAACCAGCACTAAGCGGGGGAGGTGGGGCTGGGGTCAGGGACGGTGGACGCTCAACCCAGTGAGAATTCCAGTGAGGTTTCCCCAGTTAGCTCCAGAAGGGCCAACTCTGACCTGCCAGCGGGAAGGGAAAGAAACCATCGTGCCAAAAACGGTTTTTTCAAAAGAGCCGAAAATTTCGGAGATTCGCGCCATCCAGCTTCAAGCCTTCGAATCCAGCCACGGCGATCCAGGACGTGTCAGAGGCAGGAAAAGGAACACAGAGCAAGACGGGAGGACAAGGGGCCAGGAAAGAAATTCACGAGCGTGGCCAAGAAACGCCTGGCCAAAGTACAGACGCAGCTGGAAGGAAGGTCTGTACTTTTTCCTGGGCCGCTTCGTTCTCAAACAAACCCCGCCAGCCACTCACGAGCGAAAGGCCTTAGAGAAAGCCGAGACAAACACTGATTCCAAATGGCCCCGGACCCCCGAGAAACGAGACTCTGGTGCACGTCCCACTGCCTGACCTTCATGGGGATGGTCCGCTCAGCCCCGAGATGATACCGGAAGTCTTTTTTGATTTTATTTATTTATTGGCTTTGGGGGTCACACCCGGCGATGCTCAGGGGTTCCTCCTGGCTCTGCACTCAGGAATTACTCCGGGCAGTGCTCGGGGGAGATCCTCTGGGATGCTGGGGATCAAACCTGGGTTGCCCAGGTACAAGGTAAGTAAGTGCCCTTCCTGCCGAACTCTCGCTCTGGCCCCCATGGCCATAAGCTTTATCTGCAACAGGAAATAAAGAAAACGTTCATTGGGCCCCGCTGACTGAGGGTGTGGAGGAGAGGGTGGGTGGAGAAGGTTCCCAGTGAGAGAAAATGCTTTTGGGTCACGCGCACGACAAAGGCCTTCTATCCACAGTGCACAGACAATGTTCCATGACAAGTTGTTCCACTCTGGGGCACCCCAGGGGCCGGCGGGCGAGAGCTCTCCCTACCCCAAGGGACCCAGCCCCAGCAGTCAACCTCCACTACCCCACCAACGCCAAGCTCCAGGCCACTTTCTGGACACATCATGGGACATTTCCTATCCATGGTCCATGATTACCACACGTTCAGACAATCGGCAACAGATCATAGAGAAAAAAAAAAAAAAATATATATATATATATATGCCTCGGAGTGCCCGGCAAACTACTGAGAGTATCCCGCCCACACATCCCTTGCCAGAGCCTGGCAAGCTCCCTATGTCATATTCGATATGCCAAAACCGGTAACTATAACGGGTTCATTCCCCTGACCCCGAAAGAGCCATCAATCGTGGGAAAGACAAGGAGAGGCTGCTGAAATCTCAGGGTTGGGGCAAACAGAGACGTTACTGGCGCCTGCTCGAATAAACTGATGAACAACGGGATGACAGTGATAATACAGTGATAGACAATGCTTGAGATTTAGTTTCAAAGGTCTCAATATAATGAACTGGGGGGGCGGGGGAGGTCAGGTCAGCCAGAGGCACAGTACAGTAGGGAAGGTCCCCGTCTCGCAAACCACCAACCCTGGGTGGGTCCCTGGCCTCCCCCATGGTCCCCAGAGCACTAGCAGAGACTCCCAAATGCAAACCCAGGACGTGGCCCTGAGCACTGCCAGACGTGACCCCCAAACTAAGAGAAACAAAGTGTGAGGCGGGGGTGGGGGAGGGAGTGTTTGTCGGGACGTTTTATCAAAGATACACAGTGAACAGGAAAGACGCCACGTGGGGCGATAGCACAGCGGAGAAGGCGTTTGCCTTGCACGCAGTCAACCCAAGTTCCATCCCCCGCATCCCAAAGGGTCCCCTGAGCCCCGCCAGGAGGATTCCTGAGCGCAGAGCCAGGCAGGCATCAGCCCTGAGCATCGCCAGGCGTGGCCCCCTAACTGAATAACGGATATGCAGAACCGCCTCATTCGTTCAGGAGATGCAAACTAAAAGCACAGCAAGACGCCCTCACGATGCTCCTGGCTAGGAACCCAAAATGCTTCTGTGCCCTGGGAAATATCAGCCACCGCGGGCGGGTGAGACCCAAGAAAGGGCTACGGTGGCACCAGGCAGCTCTGTGCAATGGTCAGAAGGAAGCAGGTCCTTACTGGCCACCGGCTCCGGGCAGACAGACCTTTCCCTGAGCTGACAGGGCAGGGGGTGAAACCACGATTGCACACGGCAGGTGCTTGGCAAGTGCCAAGACAACGATGCCAGGGCACAGACGCCAGGACTCCCACGAAGAATTCGTGCATTCATCTCCCGAGAAGCTCGGCTGTGTGCCGAGAACCACGCTCAGCATTCTCAGGCAGGTGGGAGTCGTGTCCAGCGACCAGGACAGGGGCCCGAGAGGTGACACAGTGGGTAGGGTGTTTACCTTGTATGCGGCTGACCGGGGTTTCGTCCCCGGCATCCCACTCCTGAGCAGCGCCAGAAGTGATTCCTGAGCGCAGAGTCAGGAGTCACCCCTGAGCATCGCTGGGTGTGACACAGAAAGCAAAAAAAAAAAGATAAACCAAGAACA